AAGGGCGTGGGGGGGGGCACAACCTGCACACAGGTGCAAGGGCGTGGGGGGGGCACAACCTGCACACAGGTGCAAGGGGGGCACAACCTGCACACAGGTGCAAGGGCGTGGGGGGGCACAACCTGCACACAGGTGCAAGGGCGTGGGGGGGCACAACCTGCACACTGCACAGTGAACAAGAAGCAGAGAAAGGGATAAGGATCCAGGGATAAGATGTGCCCTGCAAAGACACACTTTGCCTTCCTACCAGGCTCCCCTAGCCTGTTTGGCTAGAAACCCATCAATGGATTAACTCATCCCTAGAATTAGCATCTGGTCACCTCAGGTAGTGTCACCATTTGGGACAAAGCCTTCAACACAGGAGCTTTTGAGATCTTTTAATATCAAAACCATACCATTCTGCCCTGGACTCTGAAGGCTTCTCTCAGAGCAAAAATACACTTAGCCCACCTCCAAGAAGCTCAAAAGTTCTAGAATTGCTAAAATATCCCATCAGACTTCCATAGCTTAATTTTTTTTTTTTTCAGAGCTGAGGACCGAACCCAGGGCCTTGCGCTTGCTAGGCAAGTGCTCTACCACTGAGCTAAATCCCCCACCCCCATAGCTTAAATTTTTAAGGTTTTTTTAAATGCATGTAGTGTTTTGCCTGTGTGTCTGACTGTGCACTACATGTGTGCCTGGTGTCCGTGGAGGCCAGGAGAGGGGTTTGGAGTGCATAAACAGTATGAGCTCATATAAACACACCAGTATGCGCTGCCTGGTGTGGGTGCTGGGCACCAAACCATGATCTTCTGCAAGAAGAGAGAGTGTGCTCAATTGCCGAGCCATCCGTCCAGCCCCTGGAGTGTGAGGTTTGTGTCCAGCATTTAGGGTGCATGGGAGCATGATGGGAGCTCCAGAGGGCTTGGGTAGCCCCACCTCTTAAGCCCCACTTGCTGCGGCCCCCACGTTCTCTCTCCTGGGCTGGCTGTGTTTGCTGCCCGCAGCCGCCTTCAGCGAGTCTCCTGCCCTGGAATCTCTGGCTTCCTGGGATCTTCTTTGCAGCTCAGACTTCACCTTCAGAGCTTCAGGCTCCATCCTTCCAAGGGCAGTAAATTTGCAGGGATCTTGACCTCGCCTCCCAAGACTTTGCTTTGAAATTTCAGCAGAAGCCTCCGTGAGCTCATTACCTCTGTGTTCTGCCTGCCTCAAAACCAGCATCACGTGGACAATGCTAAGGTCTGCCACCAGCTTGGCAGTAGTGGGCCCACTTAGACGTTGGCTTCCGTGGCCTTTGAGTGTCTAGGGGTTCCTCTGCAAGCGGGATGCCCCAGCAGCTCACTCCTGAAATTAATCTTCATCCAGATCATCCTCAGCTCCAACTTTACAGAAAGCTTTTCTTTTTAGGGCCAAACCTAAGGCTCTTCAAATCCTCTGCTTCTTGCTTCTGACCTTCACTGTAAACCTGGCTAAAAGCCACTAATACCTATGCTACAGCCTGAACACTGGGTTGCCTTGGAATTTCTTCTGTGAAATGAAATAGTGCACCATCTTTAAACTCGGCCTCATACACAGTCTCAGAGTGAAGACGAAACGCAGAGAAGTTCCCTGCTACTGCGCAATACATGAGGTCTCAAGTCTAACTCCTTGCAGAACCCAGACCCTCAAGAGGGCAGGCTCCACTGTCTGTATTGCTATCAGGACTCTGGTCTGAGCTTATGCCAAAGTCCCCCATTAACCTCGTGTGATGACTGATCTCACTTGTCAACTTGATGAGATGTAGAATCACCTGGGCAATAGGCTTATGGGAGATGAACTCAAATAATCCTGTGTGTGTGCATGATGTATGTGTGTGGTGGGCATGTGTGTCATGGCAAGTATGTGAAGGCCAGAGGGCAGCTTTGTGACATTGGCTCTCTCCTTCCATCTTTATGAGGGTTACATGATTAAACTCAGGTTACCAAACTTATATGGCCATGTGGTTTTACCCCCTAAATCATCTTGTTGGCCCCAGGATTATATTAATTGAGGTGCCCACTATGGGTGGGACTATTACCTGGGCTTGGATCCTAGACTGTATAAAAATGAAGAAATTTGCTGGGCCGTGGTGGTACATGCCTTTAGTCTCAGCACTTGGGAAGCAGAGCCAGGCAGATCTCTGTGAGCTCAAGGCCAGCCTGGTCTACAGAGCGAGATCCAGGACAGGCACCAAAACTACATGGAGAAATCCTGTCTCGAAAAACAAACAAACAAACAAAAAGAAGAGGAAGTTTGCCCGTGGGATGCCCGAGAAAGCTTCCAGGGCAAGATGTTTGTGCTGGCTTTGATGAGAATGATGTGTGACTTCTTAGCTAGTCACAATGGTAATGTGTCCAGATGACCTTGTGGGATGTGTTTTCTGGCCTGAGGTATGGAGCAAGAGGAACAGTTTGAAGGCTTTCAGGGGCTCTAAACTGGAACTCCCTTCTGGAAATGATTTCGCTCTGTTCTCTTCTTTCCATTCGTCTCCAGAGTCAGGCATTCTTCGTGCCACTGGACACAGAAGCAAAGACAGGGTACCTCTCAGCCTGAGACGGGAGCTCTCAAGGACTCCCCAGCACCATACTTCAGGTGAGTGGCTCTAGGTTGGACCCCGAGACTAATAAGGACACTTATGGTCAGAAAGGATCCTGGCTGGAAAGGGGTCATGCAGGGATTTGGAGACATCCTGCCATTCTCAGGAGCCTGGGTTCTCATTCTCTGCCTCTCAAGTGAAGGAGTCAAGGTAGGGATGTAAAGCGGGGACCTGTCCCCAGACCCATCCCACAGCCTTACAGGACAGCCCCATTCTTAACTACACCTCTAGATCCCTGCCAGCCCTGAGGCTTGTTATCCCATTTTGAGGATGGAAGGCAGTGTCAAGATGACCTTGCCTGGGGTGCTGAAAGATGGGGGGGCGGGGATCAGAAGACTTTGAGATCATGGCAGCTATGGTTGGTTTTGCTCACACTTATGATCAACAGTAAAGGAGCCTGGATGGAGAGGTGGGAGGAGCCTCAACCCTGTCTGAGGGTTGTTGGGCTCAGGGGCTGCTAGTTAGGCTGCATGTTAGACTCATGCTGTGTAGACACTTAGGAGGTTTCGCAGATGCAAGGGAGGGGTGGAGGGGAAGGGGCATAGGTGGTAGCCAGCTAGGGTAAAGGCTGGTCAGTACTCCAGATGGCACCCGTTGGACAGCAGACACAGCCACAGGCATAGTAGGGCTTGCCCCTCCTCATGGTTGTGAGTCAATGGCAGATGTAGGTGGGGGTCCCAAGCTGGTTGATGGACAGCTCAGACAGGACCTTCTTAAGCCTTGTGTTCTCCTCTGCCCTCCATGAAACCCTGTTCCATCAGCTTCCAGATCAGCCATCTTTTCTTTCTTTCTTTTTTGTTTGTTTTGTTTTGTTTTTTCGAGACAGGGTTTCTCTGTGTAGTTTTGGTGCCTGTCCTGGATCTCGCTCTGTAGACCAGGCTGGCCTTGAACTCACAGAGATCTGCCTGGCTCTGCCTCCCAAGTGCTGGGATTAAAGG